CAATGAATAATATAATATAATATAATATAATATAATATAATATAATATAATATAATATATACATTATCTGAAATAAATGTGAGTGGTAGAAAAAAACTTAATAAAAATATTTCTAAATAAATGTAAAATAAAATAAAAATAAATTAAAATTAAAATTATAAAAAGTAAAAATAAATAAATAAATATATTTTTAAATAAATAAATATATATATATATATAATAACATTAATAAAGTGGTGCTTGGCCATGCAAAACATTCCACCATGAAGTGACAAAGTTTAATACTCGGCATTTGTTGAAGTCCTTCAGCTTGAGCAGTAGTAATGGTAATGCTTGCTTCAGCAAACCGCACTAATTAGAGGGAGGAATATGGCTGTCTGTAGCATGATGAGCTAATGGATTTCCTCTCACTGCATTCCCTGTCCATCACTGTCAGATGCGTGTGTCATATGCCTTTGTGGATGTGCATGTGTGGCCTCCGGTGACCATTTGTGGATACTTTTATTATTAATTTTAAAGTACAGCTGGTCAAATGAAGAGAGCGAGAGAGAGAGAGAGAGAGAGAGAGAGAGAGAGAGAGAGAGCGAGAGATAACATAGCTCACTTCAGTTATTGCTACTAGTTAGTAAAATCATAATAAATTACATTTTAAACCATGATTAAACAATGAACTTTCCAAATTTGTAATTAATTTTAATATATAATTTCATTTTTTATTTACTTTATTTTAATTTACAATTGAAAAAGACTAAATTAACAGCTAATTAACACTTTATTAAGCACAGCTGATCAGAATGTATTTTGATGTTGTATAGTACCGTGAAGTGAAACTATTTTAGACCAATGAGATTTCAGTGTGGGTGGGGCGACACATATAACATTACAAAAACAGAAACTGCCTGCCACAGGTTACTCGGATTAGGAAAAAACCTTGTTCACACTGAAAAAAATCACAAAGTCACTGTGCTATGAGGCTAACAGACGTTTCTATTTGACAACAGCAAGAGTACAAACAAGCACAGGTATATCACTTTCAGCTGAACCTCCGTTAAAAATGGAAACCACCCCGGAAGCACACAATTTCTTTTGCACTCATTGAGAGTTCAATGAAAACTTTATATTTCTTTGCAGGTTGAGCAGTGCTGCGGCTGTCATTACAGTAGCCTGCTCTCCTCCGGACCACATTTAGACCGATTCAGAGGAGTTTTTTTTTTTACTTAAAGTGGACCCATTATGTCATTAAGTCCTTCTGAATGTGAAATGCAGAGTGAAATGTGCATGCCGACTGTGAAGAGGTTTTTGCTCTGTGCCTTTTGGTAGAAGGAGAAAGAAGTGTGTGTTTGTATTTGTGTGTGTGTCGTTGATCTCTTAATTTCACCATTCAGACACGGCACCTGTTGTACAAACATTTTACAGCTTATTTTAGAGCTAATCTGAAAGCATTTAGTCTCTCTTTCTCTAGTAAGCTGTTGCTGAAGGGTGAATAGAAGGAGGTTTCGGTTTAAAGTGCTTTTCTCAAAATAAAAGGCACAGAGTAAGTGTTTTAACACAGTGTGAGCAGTTCTGCAGGTCATGTTTTCATGCAAACACACACTCACCCCTGACGAAGGGTACGCCGTCCACCCGAGCTCTGCTGTGGCGGTCCGGGTGTCCATTAATGTTTCTGAAAAGCAGACAAACAAAGTTTTATGAGGAATCATGAATATTTATGTTTATCTCTCAGTGCTTGCAATGTACATTGTTTGCATAAAGAATTCTGGAAGAGATTGCAGTATCTTGATGGGGGGGGGGGACTGAACTGTGTGTTTCCATCCAAAATGTGCTGTTCTGGTGTAGAGGACCAGGACTGAAGAGCGCAGCTCTAGAATACAAACTCTCCACAGTGCCACTTTTGCACCACAGTGGCCCTGTGGTTCTGAAGACAGATATAGGATAAGTTGTCTGTGTCCTTAAAGTGGTCAGCTCTTGTCTAACCTTATCAGAGGAGATATCTGTGACCAGCCGGGAGAATAATCCACATGCACACACTCCACCAAACGCAGATAAGATGGTTGAAAGTGATAGAAAACCTGGATTGATACCTGACTTTAACATCAATGACCATCAGAGCAGAAGACACAAAATTAAAAAAAAAAAACATTTGTGCAATGTGTGTCCCTCATATATACAGTATGTGCATAAAAAAATGATTTAATGAATAGCTGATATAGCTGTTTTTACAGACATTTCTCAACAGCACAAAAAGAAAAGAAGAAAAACTCTATTCTTGAGTATTTTTTATGAAGATTAATTTTAAGCCTGTCCTCATACCCATTCCAATTTCTCAATAGCATATTATTAGCAAATCATTCTATATATTTATTATATATTAGAATATTAGCAAAAATGCACATTTCAAGAAAAAAATAATAATTTGGGAATAAAGCTAGCATTTTCTTAATATATATTTTTTAATAGATTTTGGTTGACTCAATATATTATTAAAAGTTGTGTCTCCTAGTTGAACTTCAGATGTCTTTTGATTGGGAAAACAATCATAGAACATTCAAGGGATCCACACAAAAAAAAGTGAAAAAAGTGTTACTTTTTTTTTTTTTTACAAAATAAATAAATAAATTCTATCTATCTATCTATCTATCTATCTATCTATCTATCTATCTATCTATCTATCTATCTACCCTAAATTAATAAATAAACAAAAATAAAATTCATTTATTCATCCATTCGAAATAAATAAATAAATAAATAAATAAATAAATAAATAATATTAGTTTCTTCCTTTCATTAAGATTGTTGGTCTTTTGTCTTGCTTCCAATTTCTCCTTGCCATAACAGCACAAAGTCAGGGCTTTTTTCTTCCTTTAAAGTAATTAACAATTCCATAATTTAAAATAAATAAATAATATTATGAAATATGATCATTTAAGAGTTGATACTACACATATTAGCATCAAATTCCTATCCCAGGATATGCAACAGAATATTTAAACTCGCTCAAACACTTTCTTTAATCACTTTATCAAACTGAAAACCAATGGAACCTCAAAAGCACCCGTTTCATAGAATGACCCGTTTGTATTCAGTTTGCAATATTTTTTTTTTATGCTCACATTTGAACGCTTGAGTAATTGCTTAAATAAAAGACACACACAGGCTCTGAAGAGTAAACTGCTCAGTGCACATGTCACTACGATGATGTTCACTTCAGTTGTGCTGCACTGTAGGGGCGTCCTGCACTACGACATCGTTAAAGTACCGGACAAGTTTCTGAAGTCAAACCACATCAGTGTAAACAGATCTACATCCAACTCCTAAACCCACCAACAGCCATTCTCCATCTACCCTTCCCTCTTGGTCTGTCACACACACACATGCATATATGACGCACTGTGACTTAATTGCATCCCGTGCGTCTGGCTCGGAGCGGAGCCTGTCACACTGGGATGGTTATAAGTAACGAGTGATGTCACAGGAGAGAGAAAAGATGAAGAATATCCACTCTTTCCACAAAACACAATCCGACGTTACAAACCGGAATCCAACTGTCATTTCCACTCTCCTCTCGCTCTCTGCATCCCTCGTATCTCCATCACTGTGGAGTTAATCATACACTCTTCTCCTTTGACGTTTCTCTATATTTCAAGAGGAAGAAAGAGAAGATGAAGTAAGAAGGCTTCGCTCTCTTTCAGATAGATGAGGAGAAGCAGATGACAAGCACTCGAGCTTCCTGCTGATGGATTCATAACGTGATGTATAATTCTGCGATAACGTGACACTCTCCTCCCCGGCCGTCAATAACTCACCACCGGCTGATCAAGAAAACACACCTTATTGTCATGCGCTTGAGGAAAGCATCAATAAGGCTCATAAAGTGTTTTATCCAAGTCAGTGGCAGCCGGTAACTTCCTCAAACACAACAAATCAAATTCAAATCAGCGTTCCTCAGTCTAATCATGTTTACTCTCTGTATGCAGGCACACACTGTAAATCCTTAACTGCACACTTGGGTTTTTAGGCATCGTAGACACATATTCAATGGTTCCAAGCAGTAGGCAGCTAAATAATGCTATCTTGTAAGGCAGCAGCAAATGTAACGTTAAAATAGCAAACCCTCAATGAACTGTAAGCTCAGTGATGAGTCACTAGAGCCGAGATAGATCCATTTTATTCAGTACTAAAAATACTGGTCAATATTAGGGGTTGGTAAGATTTTTTTTTAAGTGAAAAAATGAAATAAGTCTAATTAATACAGGATTAATATGAAATAATATTACAATTTAAAATCTGATATTAAAAGAGTAATAATATCATAATTTGTATGAAACAATACTCAGTCAAACAGGCAGCCCTACCCATAATTCAAACTTGAACAGGGGTGCTCATTTTCATGAATAAAAAATAAATAAATAAAATAAAATCACAAGCTTAAATATTTAAATAAAATTTAATTAAAATAACATGCCAAGCCACAAGCTACTTAAAATGAATAAAATACTTAAATAAATAATAGAAATAATAGAAAATAAAATCTTATAAAATACAATAAAATAAAATACTTGAATATTTCAATTAAATTGTATTAAAATAGCATGCCAAGCCACAGGCTACTTCAAATAAATATTTAAATTAAATTAAATTATCATGCCAAGCTACTTAAATATTTCAATGACCTTAAATTAAAATAGCATGTCACACGATACTTAAAAATAATAAAATACAATTGTAACAGCAAAAACCAAGACTTGAGAAAAAGATAGCATTAACACGGTGAGTGATTCTGTTGTTATTGATCGGTGATGATTGATGAAGCCTCTGTTGGAGATAATAAGCAGAAGCTCATTCATTCATTCATTCATTATGACGTAATTGGGAGAGTGGAGAGTTAAGAACCAATCAGAGACACTCTTTTACAGCTGTGGGCAGGGCATGGGGTGATTATTGGAGATATTAAATCCCTAGACTGAAAAAAATGCACACACAAACACAACACACACTGTGGTTTGTCTCTGTTATTAAACACATACACACGCACCATAATTCAAATTCTTTAAATAGCACAGCTTGTGCGGTTCCTCCAGCTGGTGTCTCAGAGGAGACAGACCTCTGTACATTGCTTCCCTCAGGAGTTACATCCTCCTCCAGAGAAATCACTCTCATTTGGGGTGTGTGAGGGGAACAGGGGCACTCGGTTCGGAGCTTAATGCTTTTTGAGGTCATATCAGCTTCAAGCTCATTAATATGCAACATGCGGCCTATAATACATTATCATAATGGCACAAAGCGATCATGGAATCTTGTTAGGATACAAAACTAAGCCCACCAGAGAAAGCAGAGAGTAAGAAGGTGTGAGCTGATTGAGTAGATCAAATATTTCATGCATAATAGTAAAGCCAATCTCATTTACACAAGGTGACCCTCTTTACCTGTCATTACATACATGATTGCTTCCTGTTTTCCGTTCTCTTTGTGTTTAGAGCTTTACTGAACAATTTCTCTTTACCCATCCTGCACCCATCGTGTCCAGCTGAAACTTGGCATGTCACAACTGGTTACAACGCAAAAACCAGTCACTGACATCAAATAAGGATGCACAATATTAAATTTCTGTCCCATATAATAAAAATAATTACTTTTTTATGGTATGGAAGAAAACCGAAAAATAGATCAAACAAACACTAAAAAAAAATAGTTACATAAAATAAATACACTACTGTGTACAAACATTTTGGTAAGAACAAAAATTCTGTAATAACAGCAATTTTGTGAAAATCAATTTTGAGATTTCCTAAAGGTCAAATTTAATATATATATA